CTCCTTGCCCCGAGCCCGCCCCGCCGTAGGGCCCCGGCAGCGCGGGGGCCTGAAGCGCGCTCGGTGGCCGCTGCCGTGCCGAGGGCCCGGCGATCGGCCGCTGCGGCGCCCGGTGCGGGTCGTCCCGCTGCTCGGTGCCCGTCCTTCTTGCGCGGGGAAACCTCTCCCGTCCTCTCTTTCCCCGCAGGGAGGCTGCCGGCGGGGTCTGCGGGGGAGCGGCTCCTAGGCCGATGCTGCTGCCGGCTTGGGAGATGTGTGTCTATGGGGTCCTTGCCGTGGGCTCTCACCTCTATGCTTTCTACGAAGTGCACCAAGTGTCTCAAAGTAAGTCTGTGATGCGAACGTGCTCGCTCTTGCAGTGCTTCCTGCCTGTGGCAGGTGAGGCTGCTGGGCTTGTCTTGTTCTCTCTGGGTTGGCTTCTACTTTGCTCTTCTGCAAGGAGTGCCTGTGCTCTTCCTGGCTGCAAACTAGCCCTGTGCGAGGAAGTGGTAGCCCGGTGCTAGCTGGGCAGAGGGCTTTTCCCAATGCTTTTCTGCCTCTAGTGCTGGGAGGGCCCTTGGCAATGGTGTCCTGGCACTCAACTGTCAGGGAAGAGATGAGGGAGACCTCTGAAGCTTAGCTACTCAAATGGGGGAAGTGTATGAATGTTGGCTCTGAACTGTTTTTTTTCCTGGCTAGTCTAGAGCCTTCTCACCTGCAGCCCCTTGGAAGTGGGTGGTTCAGAAGCAGCTGTGCCTCCTGATGGTGCTTGCTGGGTATTGAACCCTGGGGAGGTCGCAGGGCAGGTGAGTGCTGCCCTGCCTGGAGCTCTGGGGCTCCTGTTGTGGGCTCAGAGCAATGTCTGGGTTGTCTGTGCAGCTTTGGGGTCAGTTTGGTTCCAAATATTTGCCTGTGCTTTGCGTAATGTCTTGGTAGCTGGTATGGTGGCTTGGCTTTGGTTCAGTGGGGCTGAGTAGTGCAGAGCAGGGGTGGGGTCTTACACAATTTAAATACAATTTGTAGATGGAAAGAAGCTGTGTTCTAGCACATCAGCAAAGATGGTGGGAAATGAAGGTGGTATAATCTAGTAGAAGTGTAGTTAGTTAGAGAGGTTTGTTAAGGAAATGTACGCTGCATCTTGTTAGGCTTTGATCAGCAAGGTGTTCTACATTAATGACCCTAGCTGGCTCTCGGAAGAACAGGAGTGCCAGAAAGGCACTTGCAGGGCAGTGAAGGAAGTGCTGGGTAAAGGGGTATAGGGCTGTGCACCCATGTGTACAGCACATCATCTGTGGAGATGGCAAAACGCTGCATGGGACTGGGCTCTGGAGGTGGCTTCTCTGAGCAGCCTGGCCCTGTTCTGGCTGTAGTGGTCACTGTCAGGTTGGTGTGTCCTTCTGCTCTGGTAGGAGAAACCAGCCAGCCCTGAAAGAGGGGAAATAAGGATTAGTGCAGGTCCTGTGTGGTAAAAGGTTGGTTGCTGTCTGCTACTGCCCCTGTTGCAAGGGGGGAATCAAAGGGGGGATAGTTTCTGGGCAACTCAGTGACTTTTCTGTGGGGCAGAACTGTGGCCTGGATGGACAGCTTACCTGGTGAGTGGTGACATCGTGATGTGCCCTTCCCTGGCTCTGAGTGTCCCCATCAGCAGAGGCAATGTGGTAATGTGTTGCTCTTGAGCAGCAGAGGCCATATCCCTGACTGTTCCTGCTCTGGCTGTGGTGTTCTTAGTAAAGGTTTGCTCTTCTCTGCAGAATATGAAGCTGCGATGGACAGACGATTTGGGCTGGAACCAGGGACTCTCTTTCGAGGCCTCAAAAAGGTAGGGTGGGTGACCGATACCACCATCTTTTATTTTGTGGCAATAGCGCGGATATCGTGTTTCCATGCGCTTTGCTCACCCAAGCTTCTGATGTAGCTTCAGAGATTCGTGGTAACTTTGCAGATTTGGATATTCATAGCTAATTTTAGTCTGTTTCTAGTGAGGAAGAGGGACTTGCTGGGTGTGTCTAGATCTAAGAATCATAACCAAAGTTTTGTTTCTTTTCCTGATCCCTGGCCTAAGTGTTTCTCCTTCATTATGTCACTTAGCCTTCTGATTAACTGTTTGGCCTTAAAAGCTGTGACTACTCTTGACATTTTCTTCAGCCTTTTTCCTGTGACTGGGTGGTTTGGTTAATGCTTAACATCAGTGAACATGCATTTTCCTCTTGGTTGGCCTGTAGTCCAGCATAGAGGAAAAGAGATTTCTGAGGTGCAAGGGCTTAAAGAAACATGGTTGGTCTTAAAAAAATTAATATGAACACTAGCACCACTCTACCCCAAACAAAAAACCAACACCCTTCCCCACCCTCTGCTTGCTTTCGACCTCACATCCTTTTCAAGAAGTGCAACTAATGCATGCAACTAATATTGAGGATGACTTACACAAGACTAGGAGTGCATGTCTGTGGAAGTATTTTGGTGTTTGGGCCTACCATCGCTGCTGGTAAGGGACCCTTGATGTGCTTTCAAGAAAGATATAAAGCAATTGTGGAGATGAATTTTTAGTGGGGCTCTGTATGGGGGATAGCTACTGGCTGATTCCTCTTACCCAATTTAGATGAAAACCCCATGTCACAGGAATCTCCAGCTGACCTGACTTCATCTGATCCTGTGTAGACTTTGTTGAAACAGGGAGTGAAACTTCTCTTCTAGCAAGGTGCCTTTTCACCCAAGCTTTTGGTTTTCCAAGGCAGAGCAGAGTTGCTCTCTGAATCCCTCAGGAGAGGTGAGGGGTACACACAGGGAAAGCAGTGCTCTGCTTTGCAGTTGACTTGCTTAAAAAGCTGACAGAAATTGAAAAAAAGAAATTCCTGGCTAAACTTTGCATGGGTTAAGTGTAGTCCAAAACTGTTTTGTTTTTTCTTTCTAAATGAAAAAAAAAAACCTAAAATTAAAAGGATCAGGGCAAGCAGAGGTATGAATTTGTTGGGTTTGAAGAGCTGGTCAGGAACAGTAGTAGCAGACTAATTTGTTTCCTGAGAAGCTTCCTGACAGGGAACCAAAGCAAGGCTGTGTTGGACTGAGAAGCCCTGAGAAGTGGGACCCTAGTTCCAGGCTGCATCTCTGTGTAGTCACCAGCCTGCTCCCTATGTCCTGGGGAGGAGCGAGGGTGTGCATGGGTGCCTCCCTACCAGCTTTGTGGTTAGAAAGCTCCCTGGTGTTCATGGTGAAAAGCAGTGATTGCTGCTCTGTCAGGTTCAGCACCAGTGTTGGGCTTAGGAGTCACAACACCATCTAAAGCTCTTTTTCTGAATTTCACACCATTGGAAGTCAAAATGGTGCTGTCCGAGCTCACTGCTGTAAGCGATCCAGCTGGATTGCTGAAATGACATTCCTCAGATGCAGAGTTCTGTGGTGTTGGGTAACAGACCTAGTGTGTTAGAGATCTTTCCTTGTCATGTAAGAACAAGCTTTTATGGCTGGCTACACATACTGACCAGTTCCCTTGATACCCCAGGACCCCATGGACTTTGAGTGGAGCTACTGGATTGAATGGGGAAGGGAACGTATACTGTGGCTTCTGGCTGGTCACCTCCTGGTATCACAAGTGTCCAGGCTCCTGGTGGAGAAGGTATGTATAGTTTTTTCTTCACAGCAGGGAGTTTCTGTGGGTTTCAGTTTACTCTGGGCATGGGAACTTGGCACTGAGGCTACTGAGTGTGGGAAATACTGTTCTGTGGGGTGAATTGTGTGAGTGCGTCTGTAATGATGCACAAGTGAGAGTGAGTATGTAGGTTGTCTTAGTGTTTGGAGACTTCAGCCTCCCTCCAACCCATGAAAGCCTGTGTTTTGTTGTGAACCATCAACTAGTGTTGTGTGACCTGTACACAAGAAGGGTATAGTTATTCCTTTCCAAGACTGTGAAGTGATGACTGCCTGGGTTTTGGTGTGATTGCTAAATGATTGTGTGATTGTGGGAAATGACAGGTGTGTGGTGTCACACCTGCTAGTTTGGGGAAGGAAAGGAGGAAGTTATGCTCTACCCCAGATCAGGGAGGCTCTGGATTTCACATATGCTGCTACAGAAACCCCTTCCCTTCAGTCTTAATGGATACAGTTGGGTTTCCCTGTATTGTTTCATATGTGTTCTTAACCTTGTTGACTGCATTTGTTTCTACTACAGACTCCGTGTAGGACAGCACAGATATCGAGTGCTTTGCTTTTCTTTAGAAATAACAACACTAAAAATTGTTCATTTTTCTTTTTCTAACAGTATAAACCATGGTGCTTGATGGTTTATGGAATGGCTGCCTGCTGGTTGTTATTGGGAGTCAAGGGCTTTGCTGTCATTTTGTTCCATGCAACTATTTCATTTGCTGTGGCTCAGTTCCAGCTGTCACTCCTGACATGGTTGTGCTCCCTTATCCTGCTATTCACTTTACGCATACCAGCTGTGGAAGAAGCCAAGGTAATGTGAGAAGGACTAATTAAGCATCAAATAAATTATGGTGGCATTTGTTCATTATGGCAGCTATCTTTATGATGGAGTACCATCCCTTCAGTTGATGTAAGCAGAGGTTGGCTTGAAAAACCTCAGGCAATAGAGCTGCAGTGGCTCATGCTGGAGCTTCTCCAGTTAGAAAAGTTGTATTTCTCAATTGTGCTGGCTGGTGCATTGAGATGAAAGTATGTGCCTTTAAATGGTGTTCAGTAGAGCTGGAATATGATGATACTTTACTAGTGCTCTAGTAAACACATTTCTTGTTCTTTGGAGCAGTAATCGTACCAATTTAAGGTGCTGTTTTTTGGGTTCATGTTCAAGAGTTGCTTTGTAAAGTCTGATCATATGTTATTGGTGACTGCAGACTTCTGCATGGAAAGGGGGACTGTTTCTCCAACACTGATTTGTACCAAATGAGTTGCTTGCTTGGAACTGGTTGGTGCAAGCTCAGTTTTGCTCTTTCTCTAATGACTTTTGCTGGGCAGTACAGATTTTAGAGAAACTGCTGCTCAGTTGTGAGCAAATGTCATTGTATTTGCTTGGACTAAGAGGAAAAACAGGGCATATGTTACAAGGCTTGTTGCCCTGATGTTTAGGGGGAGGGCAGAAGGGAGATGAGTGGATAGGGTCTCTTCATGTGGTGTAGATAGATTTGAGAGGAGGAAAGGACCTCCTGCAGTACAAATGTAATCAGCCAAACTACATTTGCTGATGTTTTCAAGTTTTTTGTGATGATGTTTTTGTTGTTGGAAACAGGTGTGACAGTGAGTGTCAAACTTGATAAAGGTTCGATAACATTTTTCCAGCCTCCAGCTTTCTCAGGAGTGACTGATTCTCTTCAGATCTGAAATGCAGCCTTGGCTTCAGCTGTAGCAGTCCCTTGGCTGTCAGTGTTACACACTGGTTTGGATTTTATATTACTGGACCAAATCTGAGGGAGATAATGGCATTCCTGTAAGAAAAGTTCTCCTGCTGTCATAGTTCTTCATAACCTAATACATTTCTGAAATCAAGCTGTTGTCTCTTCATGCAGGTTGCAGTAGCTCTGGAGGCCTTTTCTGCAACAGCCAGGGCTTGTTCATGTGTTAAGTAGTGCTGTTTACTTCAGGTGCTTGTTCCAGCTGCTGCTTGCTTTAGTTGCTTCCTGCTGCTGGTGACCCTGAAAGTTAGGTTCTGGGTGGATATTGCTGTCCAGCTGTGTAGAAAACACAACACTGCACCATTGTGATCTGGCTTTTTGTCTTGCAGAGAAAGTGGTACGACACAGAAAATGAGTATTATCTGCTGCTCTTCACTGTGTCTGTCCGCTGTCTCTTCTGCACTAGCTTCAGCCTGGAGTACTGCTGGCATGGACCTGCCCAGAAGTCATCCCACTCATTCCTGTGGATGCTGGCATATGTGTTTTATTATCCCACGTTCCACAATGGACCCCTTCTGAATTTTGATGAATTCAGTAAGCAGGTAACAGTGCTTTTTAAGATCATGCAGTTCAAGATTTTCAGTGCATCTGTGCCTCACATGAATTGGGTGAAGAACTGTTGAAGTGGGTGATGATCTCTTTTCAGATGCCAAATCTAGATTAAGACCCTGTACTTTGAGGAACAGATTAAAGCATGATAGGTTGATCCCTGCCTCCCCTCCAATCTTGAGAGATTTTAATACCAATCATGAGAAAATGTTAGGTAGACAATTTCATCCCATTTTCCTTGATGTTGTTTTAATGGTGTGTTTCATAGGTAGTTTACAGGTAAGCCTGAGTTCCTATTTTCTAGTTACCTACTTGACAAAATTTGATACTGATGACTTTCAAACAGAAGGTGTTCCTAATGTTAGTCTGTATCTCCTGTCCTCTTCTCTAAGTGTTGAAGTAGCCTGCATGCAAAAGGGAAGGCTGTAGTTAGAAACCAGTCTTGGGTATTCATGCTTGTCTGCTAGCCATGGCATAATACTAAACTTAGGTAAGGCTGGTAACTAACATTGAGAATATATTTAGTCAAAATATATTGTCAGAATAAGTCTTTTTGTCTGGTGCTTGGGTGGGGAGAGATTGATTAGATTCCAGTGTTAGAGAAGGTGGAAAGAAAGGAAAATAGTTTTTGAAGGCTGGATGATTAATCTTCTCTATCAGACTCTGAACTCTATTTCATTCTGAAATAAACATTTTTCCCTCAATGAGGTACTTTGAGGGGGAGAAAAAAAACCAAACCCCTACAGAAAAGGAATTTTCATTAATGCATGTTTTGACTTCAGCAGAAGCATCTATTACTGATTCTGTAATATTTTTCCTCCTTACTAGTGATTTGAAGGATTTCAGTTTTTACTTAAGTTTTCTTGGAGATTAAGAATTGATTGGGTGTCTAAAGCCGCCTTCCACATAACTTTGAAAATATCAAATAATGTTATAGGAATGTGAAGACTGGACAATTTTGAGTGTAGCATTGGGAATTTGACAGTGTCCTGGATAACAACTTTAGGACAAACCTTCATCCCTGAGTTGTTCTACTTTACAGGATGTTTTCTTGTCTGACATTAGATTCATCCCTTTGACCAGGGAGCCAATGACACATGTTACATTTGGAGAGCGTTTGTAATTTTCGCCTGTAGCTGCTGGACTGGATTTTTTTTTTCCTCTCCTCCATCAGGTGGAATAAAGCAACATTTTCAGCAGCAGCTGGCTATAACTCTGAAACAGATTTTGGAGTCGCAGAAAGGTGCTGGTTTGTATTGGGAATTCCTGAAGACTCCAGTTTCCCCTCATGTTGGTGTAAAAACAGCTGATGATTTACTTAGAACACTTTTCTTCAAACTTTAGCAAGCTGAGCAGCTCTCGTCATGTAAAAGACCTACCTATCTTACTGAATGTTTTTCCTAGTGTCTTGCAGGCTGCTTTTCAAGCCTGCTTCTACATGACAGGGGAAACCCCCACACTTCCATGCTTTATTGCTTTCCATATTTTCTTGCATACTTGAATAAGAAGCGAGATCACCACCTGTGATGTCTATAGCTAAGGTCATTGGGATGAAGTGGATGAGCAGACACTTCAAACCATAAAACTACTGTTTCAGTTTATGTATAGAAGCCTAGGCATTTCTTGCTTCTGTTTATATTTGGAAAAATTTCTGTTGAAGCCACAGCAAATAGGCTGGGCTTTATGAAAGTGAAAACTGAGATTTTGGTGGACCCCTGAGTGACAAGTCCTATGCTCATTTGTCTTCAGTAGCTTGGAAGATGCAAGGCTGAATGTTGTTATCCTGGGCTGGATGTTGTAGGAAAAGTCTGCATAGACTTGCATAGAAACTGAGGTAATTTATTTTTTTACTGTTTATTGTTTTGTAGCTTCTGAAGTGTGTTAAATTCCACCTATATTCTTGTACCCCTAGCAGAGGGAGAGGTGATTGTTTTGTTAGTTTTGGGTTTTTTTTAAGGAATGTTTCGGAAGACCTGGAGACTCCAAGTTGAGAGCAGCTCGGGGATAGCTGGTAGGAAAGTTGGGGGTGGGTCTTGCATTGAAACCAGGCTCATCTGATATGGCTCAGCAAAGACCTGTGCAAAGACCACCTGTATTCTTGGTGTGAGGAGAAAAAGGAAAATTGAGAATGATATGCCTGTATTTGCAGTAGGTTCTCATTTAAATATGCACAGACCTGTTTGGTTAAAGCCATGAAGAAGGTGGAACAAACTGAACAACCTTAATGTGTTTCTTGTTGGTGTTTGAAGTGCGTTGTCGGAGCTCTTACCTGAGCAGAGGATATTGTCTTGACAGGTGAGGTTGGAGGAGGGTTTCAAAGTTTGCAGTGCCCAGCAGTTGATTCAAAGTGCACAATACAAAGAGTGTGCAGAACCCCTTAACTGAAGCTGAAACTGAGATGAAGGCTTCTGCTGAGCACACAGGAAAGCAGAAGTCCTGGAGATGGAGATAGAACCTGCTGTATGGCCTGAAGAGTGTAATACTAGTGCTGGCAATTGGTATCCATTGCCAGGCAAAAATGAGAGGCTGACACTTCATCAATGGCCTTGTTGAATTTCTGGGTTGAAGCAGGGCATAGCAGTTCTAGGCATGGGTTTGAAGGCCTGTTGTGCAAATCCCTGTGATTTAAATAGTAGTCTCCAAGCTTTCATATATCTGGTACAAATTAATCTTCAAAATGAGTGTTGTGCTTCATTTGTAAGTGAGCAGAGCTAACAGCATGTTAGCTGTACTGTGTGTGCTAGCAATTATGAGGGGGTTTTGTCTGTGCAGATGGGTTGGTTGCTTATCTTGTACATGCATTTTTGGTGGCCAGTTAAAGACTGGAAAAGGAAATGTTGCATATCTATACAATGATAGATGTACAAAACATGACTAAATTTTTAGGCAATCCTATGTTTCTGTTATTTGACCATACTCTCTTTTACTGTGGAAAGAAGGTAAAATAATAGTATACCAATGTGTTTACTATAGTTAGCAGTGTAAGAGTTTGGGGCATCTTGAGAAGCCTGTCAACTGCAAAACTTGTCTTATCTGATATTTAACTTGCACTTAACTGCCATTTGCTCAGCATGTTGTAGGTCTTGCTGACCTTGGCAGTGCTACAGGAGAAAAATGAAGAACTGTCCTCAGATAACCATTCCTATGCAGCTGGTAGAAGTTGGAGGTATTTTAAGAGCAAACAGTCCTTTTTTTCTGTGTTTGGTAGGGCTGTTGCTTGGAAAACCTTCTCCTTCATAGCTGTAGTTTCTTTAAACTTTTTTGATTATCTCTAGAGGTTGATTAAGTTACAGGAATTTAAAAAAGTCTCATATCTGGATTCTGTTCAGGTAAACAGCGCCTGGCCTTTTCTACAAGTTTAGTGCAGTGTATGTTCACGTTTGGCCTCTTGTTGATTTCTACTGCTTACTGAGATTGAGAATGGAGAGACCAGTCTCCCTCAGTGTACGTCAGGAATTTCTAAATGGTGTAGTCAAATGGTCCCCTTAGTAATAGTAATGAATAGCAAATGAAATTTTAAAAAGTTCTCAGGTTGAGTATTTGAGTAAAACATTCAGTTGTGTGCCATATAACCTCTTTGGATTTCTTCTTTAGATGAGGAGACAAGAAGCCTTCAGTTTGAAGACCAATCTCAGCATCTTAATCATGGGCATAATTCGTATTTTCTTTTGGTGGTGCCTGGCTGAGTTGATGATTCACCTCATGTATATCCATGCTCTCTACAGCAGTGCTCCACCTTTGGAAGCTGCATCATACTGGGCCTTGGGTGAGTATAGAAACAATAGCAGAAATCCTCCTCCCCCCACTTCAAGAACCCCAGTCTACTTCATCATCTGTAGGTACTTATGAATAGTACATTATGGCCAGTCACTGTCAGAAAGGTGGTCTGCAGACTCTTAATATAACATGTAGATCCTCTAAGAAGCTTACAGATGAACGTATTGAGCTGCTTCCTAAATTAAAAAATATTCTGGGTTTTTTTCCAGTCTAAAATGTGTGTCTAAACTTTGGTCTAAGTGTTTTTCCCCCTCCAAGTCATGGTAGTGGACACTTAAAACAAAAAAGAGTTTGTTTAGTGTAGGGATGGAGGAGGGGAGATGTTAAGAATTAAAGTGCTTATTGATCTCCTTCTGTTTTGATGTTTCTAGTGTGTATTCATGTTGAAAGGTAAAATGACAGTACTCATGAAAAGAGCAGAGGGAAGGAATTGCAAACGAGGTGGTCAGAAAGTAGCAGTCAGTGCCTCTCAGCTCTGTTTTCCTGCTTGACTTCCCCCTCTTCTGCCCCCTTCCAGCTCCCTGGTATTTCATTAAAATGCCAAACTGTGGGGGCAGGAAAATGAGCTCTGACAGATGTAGCATAAAATGGCAAGAGCTTGGTGTGCTGGGCTGTAGGTAGATGTAGACTAACCTGTAACCAACTGGCATATGTGGTTGGTTTGACTTGATTTCCCTGCCGCCCTCCCCCCTCTCCCTTGCTATGTGTATCACCAGGTAGGAGGAAACCCCAGAAACAGAAACCCCAGGCCTTAAGACTGGGTTCAGAAAAAGCCTTGGTGATTGCTGAATTGAAGGAGGTATCTCCTACTGTACCAGCAAGTAACAGGAATTGATATGCATACTGGTATGGTCCTGTCAAGAATTCATTGGAGATCATGTATGATGAGCAGTGTGTGTGTTGGAGGACACTTGCATATTGGACTCTGGTCAGCAGAGGGCAATGTGTGTGCTCTGTCTTTGTATGTGCATATATATACACACACTTAATGTATGTTTCAATATATAATTTTTATATATAAAAAAAGAGTGAGAGCAGATGAAGAGCAGACAGTGAGAGGTTTGTCTCCATGGTTCATTCTACCTCTCTTCACTCAGTCACTGTTTAGAAAGTGGATTCTGAGTTTTTGCTCCTGTTCTAAATGTCAATTCATTGATGGATTAAATGTTAGCTCCTGGTGTTGTCTGTATGTCTGACAAAAAGCTGGCCACTGGATAAGGCAGGCAAGGCTACAGAATTAGAGATGAGATATTCCATCTTTGGTGTTACTGGTGGATTCCTCCCTTCAAGATTACCAGTGCTGATTTTTAAAAAGAGGGGAAAAAGTTACAATAGCCAAGTAGGCTGTATATCTGATGAAATCAAGTCTTGCATCCTAAGAATTAAAATGCATTTTGAACAGACGATTAGAAAAGGCTAAAATGCCTCAAAGCAACAGGTGATGAAAGCCAGTGTTAAAGCAAGTTTGGACTGTAAAGCTGCCTGATTAAGATATAATTTGAATTGAAACAAGTCCTCTGTGGAGACCTGGCTTTTAGGAGAGGTGTGTTCAAAGTGTAACCCTATTCTTGTTGAGCTTTGTCTTTGTAGTAATGATAGCAGGTGTGTAAAATATACTTCAAATGAGATTGAGGCAGAAGTTTGTCACTTCTTAAAATGTTTTCTCTATAGGTTTTATCACAATTATTATACAAGTTTCCTTAAACTCAAATCAGTGACAGTCCATTTAGGGAGCCACCAATATATGAGTAAGGGTACTGGTAATATTTTTCTATTGATCCTTACTGGATCCATAAGAATCTTACCATGCTTCTACACCACTTCTTGTACAGAGCCAAACAATCCCCTCTGTTATTCAGCGTTCTGTGTTATTAAAACTAATTACATCAGATAACTGAGTCTTGAGACTGAGGAAGCAGCTTGTTGTTGACTCAGGAGGATTAACCACATAGTATATTAGCCTTTCTGCACTGCTGGGTTTTCTATTCATTTTGTGTTTCCTATTTAACTACAGCAGCTTCAAACCAGCATGGAGCATCTACTTACATTGTGATGCCTGGCTGTCCCAGAAGCCTGGTAAACTTAGGGGAAAGGCTGTGGTGCTGTTTTGCAGTCAGCTCTAATTAGGGAGATAACTGCTCCTCCATTTTTCTTCTGGGATATCTTTGAATGATGGGCAATAAATGCCAGCAGTGCTGGTAAAGACAATGGTGCTATGCAATTTTGCTGTCGGCATCTTAAAGGCAATGATGATGGTCAGTCTACAACTCAGTGTGAAGCTACACTGTGTCATGCATTACTTCATGTGGTGTTCCTGTGAGGTGAGACAGCAAAGAAATAAAAAAACCCACAACCAATCCTGCATGAGTTGCAATGCTTGTTTTAAATATGCCCCTGTATAACACTGTCGTTTATGGCCATGTAAAGCAGAAATGCTAAAGTTACCTAAAGTAACATTACTGAGTGTACGCAGGTATAAAATTAAGAAAAAAATAGTACCTGGGAGAATGTGTTACCCAGCAGTAAGAGAAGTATTTTCTCTTGTGTGGAGGGAATTAGGCAAATAAGTTTCTACAAGAAGCAATATACAAAATGGTGCATGTATGTTTTTTTGATGCCTGTGTATTTAACTGTAACAGGTGCAAGCTGCCTTAAATATTAATGTTTGTGTGCATTAGCTACTGTTAGTACACTTTGAATTGTATGGTTTTTTAAACTTTTTAAATTTTTAAACTTGTGTCCTCTTGCAACTAAACCAATGATCCTCTTAAGTCAAATGTTCAGATTCTTCTTTTCTCCATGCCCTTTACAAGCCAGTACCTGGATTAGTGTAGCAGCACTCTTGCCTATAGGTTGTGTTACCTCATTCCTTCCAATTCATCTGCAAATGCCTAGTTCTGTATATTCTTCTACTCTTCTGAATGGGAGCATGTCAGCACAGAGTTTCTCCCCTTCTAGAGGAAGCCACCTTCTGTCCTAGATAATCCAGCTTGGCTGTCTGTTTCTTGTGACATGTGTTACCATGGTGTCTTAAAGGCTGAGAGAACATTGTAGCCTTGCTTGTTGAATATCCTCCAGTCTCTTTATTGGCAATGCAAGCTGTGTAGATGAAGCCTGTCTCTTGAATAAACAATGATGTGGCACATGCTTTCCTGCATTGTTGTTGTGCTATAGGTGGAAGAACTGCTGTAATTGAAATATCTGTGTAATCTCTAATTGCTGTTAGATGCAGGTTATGTTTGTAACTGGCAATTTCAGGGTCATTAACTGGGTGATAAGAGTGTTGGGAATTGTGAGCAGAAGGCTAAAAACAGTGTATGTGTAGTTCACATAAAGGTAGAACCTTCAATTCTCTCCTGGTCACCCCTGTTTTCCTGGATCGCTCCTCTCCCTATGTTTCCTAACTTGTGCCTGGCAGCCACCAGTAAAGGCAGCTTATGTGCCTGCCCTGTGGGTCAACGAGCTATGGAAGTACATAGTCAACAACCTGCTCTGAGAGAGGGCAGGTTGCATCATAGAATTGTTTAGGTTGGAAAAGACCCGTAAGATCATTGAGTTCAACCATCAACCCAACACTACCATGTCCACTAAACTATGTCCTGAAGTGTGATGTCTGCATGCTTTCTGAACACCTCCAGGGATGGTGATTCCACTACTTCCCTGGGCAGCCTGTGCCAATGCCTGACAACCCCTTCAGTAAAGAAATCTTTCCTAATATCCAATCTAAACCTCCCCTGGTGCAACTTGAGGCCATTTCTTCTTGTCCTATCACTAGTTACTTGATAGAAGAGGCCAGTACCCACCTCACTACAACCTCCTTTCAGGTAGTTGTAGAGAGTGATAAGGTCTCCCCTCAGCCTCCTTTTCTCCAGACTAAACCACCCCAGTTCCCTCAGCGGCTCCTCATAAGAGTTGTGCTCCAGGCCCTTCACCAACTTGGTTGCCCTTCTCTGGACATGCTCCAGCACCTCAATGTCTTTCCTGTAGCGAGGGGCTGAAAACTGAACACAGTACTTGAGGTGTGGCCTCACCAGTGCTGAGTACAGAGGAACAATCACTTCCCTGCTCCTCCTGGCCCCACTATTATTGATGCAGGCCAGTATGCTCTTGGCCTTCTTGGCCACCTGGGCACACTGCTGGCTCATATTCAGCCTGCTGTCAACCAGCACCCCCAGGTCTTTCTCTGCCGGACAGCTTTCCAGCCACTCTTCCCCAAGCCTGTAGCGCTGCATGGGGTTGCTGTGACCCAAGTGCAGGACCTAGCACTTGGCCTTGTTGAACCTTGTACAATTGGCCTCTGCCCATCGATCCAGCCTGTCCAGATCCCTCTGTACAGCCTTCCTACCCTCAAGCAGATCAACACTCCCTCCTAACTTGGTGTCATCTGCAAACTCACTGAGGGTGCACTTGATCCCCTCATCCAGATCATTGATAAAGATATTAAACAGAACTGACCCCAAAACTGAGCCCTGGGGAACACCACTTGTGACTGGCTGCCAACTGGATTTAACTCTGTTGACCACAACTCTCTGGTCTTGGCCATCCAGCCAGTTTTTTTACCCAGTGAAGAGTACATTTGTCTAAGCCATGAGCCACTAGCTTCTCAAGGAGTATGCCATGAGAGACAGTGTCAAAGGCCTTGCTGAAGTCAAGGCAGACAACATCCACAGCCTTCCCCTCATCCACTAGGCGGGTCACCTGGTCATAGAAGGAGATCAGGTTGGTCAAACAGGACCTGCCTTTCATGAGCCCATGCTGGCTGACCCCGATCCCCTGGTTGTCCTGCATATGCTATGTGACTACACTCAAGATGAACTGCCTCATAATCTTCCCTGGTACTGAGGTCAGGCTGACAGGCCTGTAGTTCCCCAGATCCTCTCTCCAACCCTTCTTGTAAATGGGCATCACATTGTCAAGCCTCCAGTCATCTGGGACCTCCCCTGTTGACCACAACTACTGATAAATGAGGGAGAGTGGCTTGGCAAGCAC